CCGTTAGTATTCAGGAACATATGTTGTACCTGACCTTCGGTGATATATTATTCGTCTTCGTCCGTATGATGAAACGGTGATGTTATTATTAAATATATATTAACGAAATTAATAGGCCATTAAGAGTAGCGATTAAATTAGAAACGTTGTAATTCTTATTTAATAGTTATATATTTATAAATATTACGAATAGTATAGAAAGGCCGATGGAGAATATATTCCTTGCCCTCAGATATTTTCGAGATGTGAATCCATTGTAAGTCTGTGACGAAACATGGATCATAATAGTCAACATAATTATTCGTCTAGAAAAAGAATTATTATCTAAAAATGGATAATTCGTAGCTATGTGCGATATTAGAGAATAGATATTTGAATAATATAATAAAGTTGGCTAAGTCGGTGGCCTCATTCTAAGCATCGACACTACAGAGCCCTATTGTCACGGTGAGGGGACGCAGCCGCCTCGCGAAGAAAACCGGGGACATCACCTTCACTCCCTTTTTGATTAATAATTTTTGTTCTGAAAGGTCAATCAAAAAATTTTTTATTTCTAACTTTTTTTAAGGTATTCTTGATTCAGTTCTTGGTCTTGGGCAGCTTCTCGGTAGTCTTTGGCTAATTGTTGGCGAAAATTTTCCCTATTACGATTTAGTTTGCCCTTACGGCTTCACTGACATGGCGATTAATTTTACGTACGTATCTCCCGCTACTTTTTTCTGTTTGTTCTTTCTCTAAAGATTATTTTTATATATTTCTTTCTCAATCAGCAGTTTTTTTATCTAATTTTTCTGAATTACGTTTGAGAACAATCTTAACAACAAAATTTGATATGCCCTTTATTTTCTTCATCTCGCCAATTAACAGGTAAATCTTTTCTTGTATTTTTACAATCAAACCATTCTTTTTAGTCATAATTACTTATTGATAAGCGAAAACAAAACAAAACAAAAAGAGCAAAACAGCCGCTTAAAATGGTACATTATTATCCTGCTTTTTCTAAATACTTATTATTTTTTGTTCTTCTTGATAAATTTCAAAGTAATTTTTTCTCTATCTAGATATTCCTGGAGAGTTTGTGTATTGTTAGTTTTAAAAACATGGGGAACAATTTTTCCTCCTTGAGCTTTTTTTAAAATGCTTCTAATGGTGCTGTAATTCTTTGGTTCCATAACGGATTCAATGTAAATTAGTTCATATTAATATTTTTTGTATATATTAATATAATATAGAGATAGGGCTATATTACTATATGGAACATGTTATAATCGTTAGTAAACAACTATGCCAGTTTCAAATGAAATAAGTTAAATTTCGGTCATATTTTCCACGACAATCTAAAACAGTCTATAAATTATTGTATAGCTGTGCCACTAAAGCAACCCTTTCCAAAGGTTACATATTTTTTAGTCACATCAGCCTCTCGTTTATGTCACAAAACAGGATGTTCACTTTTTCTGGTTTGTTGCAGTCTGCCCCATATATTAATATCTAAATATGCACTCACTTGCGTGTTTGTCCCTTAGATTATTTTTGTTCAATTTTGATTTACAATCTCCTGTATTACTGAATAAATTAATTAATTAATATTAATGTAATAATATTGGTACATCTTAGAACTCGAGCTATTATGTGCCAGATCACATAACATTCGGCTTTATCTTTGCCAATCACCCCCCCAAAGATTATACTATTATCAACTAATCAGTGTTGCTGTGCCAATGTAATCTCAAAGTTATGCGCTTTAGACCGCTTAACTTTGCATTGTCTTTTCGTAAAGTAAATAGTGTTATTATTATGCAACATTTAATTTACATTACACTAATAACTATTACATATTACAGAGACATTTTTCTTATAATAAAATTTGGTTTATTGAATTGCAAAGACCAAATAAAACGTTCAATTTAATAAACAAAATTTATAACAAAAAACTCGTTACTCTCTAAAAATCGTGCATCTATTGCTTACTATTACTAGATTTGTAAAAACCGAATATTGTCTAAAGCCCTATTATAAAAATATTTTTCACCTACACATAACTTTGTGCAAAGCCTTTTAGTGCATTTAAATTCTCGGGATACGGTAAAATTAACAGCTCAGCGTAGAAATACTATAATAACAAAGTCCTCAAAGAATAATAATAATTATTTACATTTTGTGTAACTGTCCTCACAAATGACACTGGTCAAAGAGAGTGCTATCAAAATCTTCTCGTTCCCTAACAATAGTAAAGCGTCCAACTTTACCGAGAACTTCTGGTTTCTCGCTGTATTGTCGAGGCATATTAGCAAATCGTTCAAATAAAGATGTTACTGGTGAATTAATTGGTGCTGCTGGTACAGGTAATACTTTGCCCGTTCTATTATTCTGGTACATATATAAATCAGGTTTTTCGTTGTCCTGAACGAAATCCGTTGTTATTTTCTCTTCGTGAATAAATCCGTCTCTTCTGGAAGTCGATGATAACGAAGACGCATTATCTTGACTGTTTGATTCTATGGCATCAAATTCATTTACGTCGACGCTGACATTGTCTTCGTTATTTACTAAATTAACTGCTGGCTCACTACCAGTTTCGCTAAGGCTTTGCCGTTTTGCGATACTAAACAGTGACGAGGTTTCGTCTGCTTTTACTTTCCATCGTCGAGGCAAAGTACAGTTGAGCTTAGTGGCCATTGTCTTGTACCATGAATGTCTCATTACAGAATACTGTGTGGGTGAAGTTATATACGGACTTGCGTTACTGATAGTGTGTCGTCTATTTTTTGTCTGCACATTCAACGCAGTAGTCGAGTATTGTTGTGTTGCGATTGAGTTATCAGAGGGGGGAGTGTTTCTAGAGAAGAACGGAAGGTCAACCTTCTTGAACTTAAAGGGCATAATAGACGACGTTTGTTGGTACTGTATTAAATTTATAAACCCCGGCAGTAGTAATTGCATATCCCGAGCGAAATGCTTTATGGGTATGTTAATATAGTTGTAGGCAGGACTGGGTACCCTTTGATTTGTGTTTATATTTAGTTAGTTTTCGTGTTACATTTTTCAGAACAGGAGTAGTGCATATGTAATATGGCGCCAAAAAGGTATGGTCGAAAAATACAGCGGAAACATGTAAGGTTAATGAATATAATAATGCTGTATTCTGATTAGATAATCTAATACAAATTCCTGCATATTAAGGGTTTCGTATTTAGGAAAACGCAAAAACTTTTCGTCAAAACTAATTTCAAATGCTAGTACAATAACGGTATATAAGAAGTTTATTGTTGAATCGCCAATCCGGCATAACTCTTGTTTCAACTTCTAACTTAAATTGCTAGGCACGCTTGTACTGTTTAGCTCCTATGACTCTCATTCATATGCGTTTCAAGAAGCATTAATCCCTATGTTTAGATATACTACGCAATATTGGCCCCCAACGAATTAATACATATTAATACGATCTTGTTTGTAAGTTTAGACTTAATGTGTCAATTCACATAGTAACAGCTGAATGTAGCAAATCAGATATGAAATTAGTGCTTGTCAACTTTTATCAAGAATAAGAAAGTGGTTTAACTTAATAATGAAACTCAACCGTCATAATTTAAATGCTATAAGAACACTTTTTATATTTTTACTTTACAGATGTTATTATTAGCACTACATAATAATAATAACGAATAATTGTGATAGTATAGCTGGTAGGAAGTCTATTTATATATTAAAATTTTGATCCATTTGTAAATGCCCACAAAACTTACCAATTAAAATTCTATTAATTAATTGTTAAAATATGTTTCAACTACCTGCTTTTTCTCTCAGCAATAAAAACTTTAAGTGACGTTTACGAACAAAATAAGCGAGAAATTCAGCGCGAGTTTATTATCAGTACTGTCCAAATGCCTTTTTAATTCTGTAGAAAAGTTACATTAATCTGGTGATACTACAACAAAAGCAGATGGTAATAAAATGATGTAGGAGCCTGGCAAAGATTAATATCTATGCAGCACAAGTATTCTTATTCTGGTGACTGTAATAAATTAATTGTAAATATGACAACTTTTTGATATATTCACAAATTTAAAATTGTAGTGAAACAAGTTTAATATTAATAGAAATTCTAACACTTATTAAAATTAATAGTAATAGTTGATTTCTTAATTTAGACTAAGACCATAAAGTTATAATAATAATTAGTAAATTCTAATTCCTTAGCACTAATACTAATATCAAGAACAGTAATGTTGGTTACTTTTATTACATTGACATTAAATTTATAATAATAAGACTTGTTGATTATCTCACCTTTCTAACATCTATTTATTTTGCACTTTAGGCGTAGAATTTAATATATACTTTCTTTGTGTATCTATCACATCAAGTTCCAAATTTACATCATCCACTACATTTTGATTGTTGAAAATTATGTTATAATATTATATAGTCAGTTCATTCTGCACTTAGTATTAATATTATGTGGAACAAGAGTATTTATTATCAATATTATTGTTTTATAACCAGGAACTTCAGAGGTAGTCAGTTATAACAAAATTTTCTGATACTGATACTAATACAGTACCATTACCATTAATATTAATATCAAAGATAACATTCCTAAGTTGTTACTCAAAAGTGTTTCATTTTTTGAGAGAGAACCATATTAATATATATATATAGTAATATACAATTGTATCAGTAATTCGTTAGGATCACGACAGAAAAACATTTTATTGAATGTGAACAAATAAGACATGTGCATGACTTTTTGCTTCATAACTTGCGGTTTTTTGGATAATAACATCGTTCTCATATTGTGCTGAGATATACAATTATTTTAGTATTAGTATGAGTCTCTTAACAGGTTTTGTTAAATTTATCCATACTTGGGCTTCATTCTACTACAATCTTGTTTGATCCAGTATATTAATATTGCAATAATTTGTAGCATAACAGAATGACAGCAGATTACAGATCACATGCGTTTCTTTTAGGATTAAAATTTGAAATCAACCAAATATTGCTTACGTTTCGGCTAGTATTAATAGCCTTAGATTACAATGTTATTTGTATAACTTTATTTAGTTTAGCGAACTTTAGTTAGACTAACTCTGCCATGCTCGACGCCTTTCATGTTATTTTTGATTCAAGTTATCTTGTCCGTCAAAGGCGCAGCTTTTGTTCTGGCCGAGTAATGATAAGCAATGATGCTCAAAGTGGTGGATTTTCCCGTCAAAGCAATTATCATGTGGTTTCCAGTCTGACAAGTGCTAATCTTGGCCGATCTGTGCAAACAAGCTGAATGACATGGAAAGCAGAAATATATATTAATTTTAGAATATTAGTTAGCCTTGTATGAATTATAAATAATATTATGTGCATACAGATAAATTACATACTGTTGTCCGTTATGCATTAGATGGTTGTTCAGCATTTATGTCGAAAGAAGAAATTTTTGATCCTTAATGATTATAGCGACTTATTCTGTCGTTATAGTAGATGTTTATCAATATCCGATGCCGATTTCACCATGGCTTATGACAGTTAATGATACACATTTGTCAACATGAATACTATTACTATGAGTTATTACTATAAATAAATACATCCTGCAACATCACAAGGAACTGCAGACGTTGAAAGTGTTACTGATTTCCTGTCATATTCCAGAACGCTAATTCTGTCGGAGAATTATTGAACGAGTGTACTAACCTTAAATTTCGGATAACGTTAGTAAAGCGATATACTCTCTCAACCTTCGTGTCTGGTTGTGTACAACTCAGCGTAACCAATACGTTCATAGTAAGATCAGTAAATGCATTTGTATGTATGCATTTTTCAGTGTCACTGTAAGCCGGATATGACATTTCTGTTTGCCATCAAATAAAGCCAACGGGTATTTTTTCACATGCTAGATGAGTGAACATACATATGCGTTGTACATCCAGCACTGTTACTATGGGTTTGTAGAACGGCTTTCCTCATGTATCTGTAAATTTAAAGTATCAGAGATGTAGTAGAAGCAAATCATTTAGACTTGGTTTTTTACAAGATAAACTGGACAAGATCCAATGCCAAACTTACATATAAAGTGTGTTGTTTATAACAGCATCAGCGATACTGTTAACAAGAAATTTTGGCTTACGCAAGCTTACCTTAATTGTTGCTAAGCCGAAAGTCTGAACTCGGTTTAGTCAAACGCAGCCGTATTACTCTTAACTTTGACATTACCTTCGAATGGGAATTTCATAGAGAATTAGATATTTAATCTTATTAGTCTGTCCCACATTAAGTCACATGTCAATCGTATTAGCTTTTGCAGAATTGTTGGTACGAGAAAGGACGGCCATAATTTGTCGCCGTATAACAGCTCCTGCGTTATTTATCTGATAATATCACGGCGGCTATCTCTATTGAAGTCAGAGGTAAGTGATTGGTTCTATTACATCCTTGTCGTAGGCGCGTGCTGGCATGCATTCGACACGTCTTCCGTCTGGTAATCTCATATGTTATCCGACGAATTCTGACGTCGATATATCAATAAATGCTATAACCTATTCACCACTTCAGAATATTTTCAACCTTACGTGGTTTACGAGGTAGCAGACAACAGATTCGATGGCGTTATTTTTTTTTACAATATACAACATGTGTACTTTTAATTTTAGAATGTCGAATTGCTTATAGTAACGTTCTCTTCTCATACAGGATCTTGACCTCGCATCACACAATAATTCAATATTCGAGAGAATGACTTTGCTTTATCGTTCATGCAACACAAATTTTACTTTCCCTCAAATGTTTTCTGATGACTGAGACCGACAATTGATCAAGTTTTGGGTACTAGAAATATTAAGCGATATTTAAGCGTGTCGCATGAAGGTAGGATCTACATTTTTCACTTTGTTCTTTCTTGGCTTTGAATTGGTAATAAATTCAAGGTTTGGCCAGACATTAGTGCGCAAAGACAACTTTAAATTAATGATTTTTCTTACTTACAGGAACATACAATATAATTGGCGTCAGAGGTCTTCTATTCACAATGTATATTGCTAAACCATTGGATGACGATTGCACGCCGTGAGATTGGCTTTCCTTTATTACTAACACCTACGATTGAACGCTAAAGGTGTTCTTGCAGTAAAAAGGGCTCTCCTACGAGGCAAGCTCCGGCTTTATGTTGAGGTTTGGAGAGACATTCAACTGATTATCTTACCGGTTTGTGGAATAACCGAGATAGATTCGAGATTTCGGAATTTAGTTCGAGAACAACATTTTGACTTCGTTTATATAAGGTGACTGGAAATTAGTTCCAGGTTTTTCATTAATGTTCGATTGTTTCATACTTTAGCTGTAATGCTTAAGAACTGTTTCTCCGCGGGAGTCATAATAAGGAGTATTAACACCGATGCATAGATGAATTGATACGCTGATGTAGAACAGCGGTTAATCGGATGTCACGAGACTAAATTAATTAAGTTACGGTTTTGCAATTAGAAAATCGAACAGCGACGCCGTTGTAACTGGACTGGAGCTTAACCAGATCTCGCCGATAATTTGGATTGTAGACATATTGACTTTATGCAAAACGCCATACTTGTCTTTCTAATTCACAATTTTCTATTGTGCGATAGATTATGAGCCATTCCGCCCAAAGCCCGGGCTACACTGTGTTTAATTCAAACCATGCAGAGTTGTAAGATGCAACTCCTATTTGATTTGGAAATTTTTTAGTATAACTTTATGTGTATTAAAGAGAATGTCTCGACAAATGCTTAATCCTGAAGCTGATACCTAAGAAAAATCTATTATATTTACGGAACAGCGATATTGCATAGCAAAGCTTTACATACTCGAACAGACATTACTTTGACCAAATATGAGAAAAAAAGAAGAAAAGAAAAGAACAGTAACATGCACGAGAGAATAGCCGACAAAAAAAATTACCGTCTCGCGGTAGCGCACTGGCCAGTTGATTCTTCAGTGCTCAAGTATTCAACGTGATAGTTTCGAGGTGTTTGGCAGAAGTTGGCTACTTAAAAACCTCCCAGCTAATGCTAACAAATGCCCAGAAAAGAAAATGGGTTGAATGAGCAAAGCGTACTTCAACGATAATTAGGATCAGACATTACGAGCTCTTCTGAGGATATTGTGTCGAAGGGTATTATTTTAGGGGGAGGTACTGTACCAAAGGTAGTAGTTTCTTGCAATACATATTACCGCATTATAGTTAGGACAGATAGTTAGGACAGTCAACTATGTTTACAAGGACCACCTCGGACAAAGCAACCTCATAAACAGCGAGTAGGATCATTAAGAGCATACAATTTGGGATTGCACAGGTGGTCCTTATACGTCATATCCCTATAAAAAAGTCCTTATAAGAGAATTGACTGCATAGATCATCTAAAATTTGTATCTTTGACAGTGTCTTCACAGTATGTCTATACGCGAGAGTAAAAATATTTGTTATGCAAATTGACTCAAAAGACATGTCGTCAATAGCACGCGTAATTATGTATTATGAAAAAGGTTTATAGTAAACAGACAATAATACTATAAACCCGGAAATGGACGAGAAGGGACTAGTATAAGACCTGGTACTAGCAGAAGGGAGGGAGACTAGAGCCAGTATCGCACAGAAATAATCCGAATGCTCAGCTAGACAATGATCTAAAGCACGCAAGGAAATCTATGGGCAACTGTGTAGAAAAACAATATTGCCAGGTTAGAGACATTTTGGCTGAGAAAATATCGGTATAATTATTTTGTAAAATCAATACTTTGCTGTTACGAGTTTGTCATTGAGAGCACTGGGGAGCGTACTGGTTATTAATTGAGGAACAGCAGAATTTTATTTCAATATGAGTTTTTTTTTTGAGAGAGAGAAAAAACAAAAATTGATATATGCTTTATAACGCTATAGTAATAGTAATAGTAATAGATTGAGATTATACAATATGCGACCAAAATAATAATAATAATTTTACTATAAAATATATGTTAAAGGTACTAGTACCGAGCTTGTATATTATGACTGTACATTTACATTGAAGTATGTCATAAATACAAACTAGAAAATCAAAAAGTTTAATATTAGAGACAATTGGAAACTTCAACAAGAATAATGATTCTAAAGAAAATGTTCCAGAAATAGTTGATAGCCATCATACACCAGCAGGTCCTAACCTGAATCCTACTCATTTCATGTTCCTGTTTCCTTCATCTTCCAAATTTGGGTTGGATCTAAATTAAATACCCAACATCAGACGTGTCTATTTTGTTCCTCATCAAAAAATAGCATTTTTTCCAAGCAAAGAGACTGGTATTGCCAACTGTTGACCTTTTATTTCCTCCACTTTACTAATAATATGTGACTTGTTGAAGTCGTAGCAGAGCTTATTAAATTTTTTTTTTGTTTTTGGAAGTTAAAGTAAACGTGCTCGTAACCAGTTGCAGATAATCCACGCATTCGTTACAGAATCATGAACAAATAGAACATAATTTTTGTCTACACCTTTTTTTTTGTTACTACTACGTATTTAGGTAATAATATACTGTATGCATATCTTTAAATTTGTTGACATATAATAAATAAGGTTTTGAGGAAAGGGACGTCGGGCGCATATCTAAACTGTTGCCAAATTCCAGAATATTAAAAAGTCGATCTTATAAAATTTTCATGAAAGTACGTGTATATACGGAACAATGATAAATGCCGTATTTATAAGGTACACATACACTACCTGGACAAAAGTCTTGCAATCAAAAAAGTTTAATTGCACATACTTAATACTGTAATATTTCATAATATTGTTTTGGTGTTGAACTAACACGCGTATAATTTTCGTGTTGTTTGTAAACACACATCAGAATATATAAATAAATTCGCAAGCGCTTAACTTAAAATGTATCCTTTAACTATTGGCCTTACAAAAATAAGCAATCCAAAAATTAATAAGATAACCTTGCTAACCGTCCCCGAAATCATTGACTAACAGAAGTCAAAAAATTTTAACTATTGTTAAAAACATAATAAGAAATTAGTTGAAGGAATTAAAAGAAAATTTTTAAAAAAGCTAATATTGAAGTTTTCACCAAAACTGTTAGATTTTTCTCATATACCATCTCGCAACCTCTGCTAAATGATCAGCAAAGAGAACAATGACTGAACCGGTGTACTGAAGGACTGTTCGAAAATGACAATTTGTCATATGGAGTGATGAAAAGCGGATGAAAAGAATGTGCAAATACTAGTAATCAAGGAATAATAGTGGATAAACAGCCTATGGATCGGATGAAGAAACCAGGAAGAGGCGGCGACTTTATTATTATTATTAATTGAAGACGCTAGTCGCTTCGCTGCTATTTACAGTAACTTGTCCATTGTGAATACTTATGCCATTTAATAAGAGGTCGAATAATTTGCCGCCAGTAAGAACGTATTGACTACATTGCCTAATGACAAAAATCAGCACCAGAAAAGAAATTCGAATTCTCTAACGTCACAAGGCAAGAACAAGGGACGCGCGGGACCCACAACCCTTGTATTAATGTGAGTTTTCAATCCACAGTCACTAAATGTTGTATTGGAATTAAAAGTGCTGTTTTATTCATATCGGCCGTCACTTACTTATCCTTTTTGAAACCGCCTGGCAGAAAATTTTAAAGTCGTCTACTAGTCTGTTAATATTCTAGTAATATATACTACTGACTAATCACGAATCGCTCCTGCTGAATACTGTTTGCATTAGAGTAAATTCTTTAAGAGCTTGTTCAAGCACCGACCTCGTTCTTTTTGCATCTGGAATAATGATTCAAGAACAGAGTTGTGCTTCTTTTGAAGCGCGCGCTTGCGTTACTGCAGGTCATTTTAATTTAGAGAATAGTCACATGATATTGAGCAAAACCAATTGATTGGTTGTCTTTTGCCGATTAATTTTACAATAAAATTTTTGGCAAAGCGATAATAAAAATTTTCCATGACAAAAATTTGCTTGAAAAAGCGGGATAATCCAAACATTGTCCAAAAGGATCTTACTGAATGGTGTAAACAGACCTTAAGAGAGTGGAAGTCGATCAAGCAACAATATCTTGTGAGTTTTTGGATATAGTACAAAAAAATTTGGGGATTATTTTGTTGTAGATGAGAAATAGGAATTGCAATCTAGGAAGCGGGCAATTGAACGGAATTAAATAAATAAAGTTTGGGGTTTTTTTACATTAAACAGACAGATTGGATTTAATATTATGTTGTAATCACACACGCATTAATATATTGCACAAGAAAAGCGTTCACTGGCAACTAAAAGGATAATTTCGAAATAATGTTGTAAAGATCGATTGCATATGCGAACTCGGGACCAGACAAAAGTATGCGCATGTAGTATGTAGAGGAGTTGTGCATTTTAGAGGAGTCTCGCTGTATCAGAAATGATTCGCTAAAAATCTTGCCTGATGTTTATGGGCTGATTTTAAGTACCAAAAATGATTCGCTAAATATCTCGCCTGAGACTGATACGCGGAGTCTTAGAGGACTGATATCCCTAAATAGAAACAAACAATTGCATTCTCACATGTTACCGTTTGTGTTATGTTTACTTCCTCAGGGTCATGTGGTATTTGGAACGTATATAAAGAGTTCGCATGAAAAGAAGTTCAGAAACGTTGGGGATTAACATGAGTTCTAATAGACAAAAGATCGGCAATCCAGGTCCACTTGGTCTCTCGGCGTTTGCCATGAATACTTTTGTATATTCAGTATACATATACGGTGTAAAGGGAATTAATCGCGATAACGTTGGACTGGGTCTTGCACTGTTCTATGGAGGAGCCATTCAAGTTCTCGCCGCAATGTGGGAAATGTATTATGGAAATACTTTTTCCGCCACAGTGTTTGCATCTTACGGTGAGTGGTTTGATCTTTGATACACTGACGCTGTTTCAATGTTAAGATATACTATGTTTGTAGGAGGATTTTGGATATCATTTGGTTTCATATCGTTACCTGCTTCTGGCATTTTACAAGCCTATGAGGGAGACCCACAAACGTTTAATAACGCTCTTGGCATGTTCCTTGTCGCGTGGACGATATTCACTACTTTAATGTTCATCTGTGCATTGCGAACCAACCTTGTATTGATCGCTGCATTCTTTATGTTGGATTTAACATACATAATGTTAGATTGCTATCAATTTACTGGTGAATTAATATTTAACAAGATTGGCGGAATATTTGGCGGTAAGTTTCAGAACGCATCGTTAACGTTGGTAATAACTGGCATGGTTGAACATATGCTCTGCTTTAAATTTATTAGTGATTACTGCCTTCATTGCGTGGTATCTCGCATGCGCTCAGTTACTAACAAAGGAAACGTCGTACTTTATTCTTCCCGTTGGAGATAGAACAGCAGATGGTAAAGTTTGAACGTTCGATAGATAAAGGCGTTGATACGATAGTGAAGGTCATTCATCCTTGCGTTGTAGAATTTTCTGCTAAAATTGATATATAATGACTCCGCAGAGTCACCGTGATGCTACTAAGATTTGCAAGTAATCCGGCAGTTTTGTTTACCAATTACGCCTTTTCCAGTTAGAGAATTTCGGCCATTACGTATTAGCGCATCAAGTATTCTTTATAGAAAAGTCTTTTCCTTTAAACACGTAGAAGCTTGATACAAATAATTTTAATCCTTCGGAATGAACGATTAGGAGAAGTAAATTCAACAAGTGGTTCTTCAAATATTGTGTCCATAATAAGCAATTCAAAATAAACACCAGAGAAACGTAAGGCCTCGAAAAAAAAACTCTTTGTATTTAAAGTGCAAGAGCATCCTAATTTAACGACGGAAAATTTAACAATCGAGTCTGGAATAAAATCCAACATTGTTTCATGATATTCTTGCAGAAAAAGAAATTTGGTTAGCCTTAGATAAAATTCACCGTTTGTTAATTCTAAGCCGTAGAACCCCACTCGCTTTGTGGATTGGGAACGTACCATACAGCATGTCACTGGTGAAATATTGAAGGTCAAAGCACAAGAATGATCATTAATGACTTACTGGATGGGTTACAAATTTCAAAAATCGCCACAATCTTGCTCGTCAAAGTAAAGGTAATTTTGCGCCTCTGGAAGATTTACCACATTTTCGTAACGAACTGCAACAACCTATTCAATAATATCCAGTTGAAAACGTTTTCAATTGTGATGAAACTGCACTCTTTTATCGTCTGGATCCTGTTAATTGAAAGCGTTACACTAATACTAACATTTACCGTAATACTAAAACGACCACTTTAAAAGATACTCTAGGCAGTTCACTGTTATTGGAATTCGACAACATGGATACAAATCACTCGCTTTATAAACTTAAGAACCTATGCGTGAATCACGTCGAAACATCGTAGACGACGCCGCCCCACACAAAATCAATAATGATACCACAACGTTGTCGAATATTGCGGTGCATTTTGCACCTCCTAATTGTACAGCTGTGTGACGCCGGCACTTTTCATAGTTTCAAAAGCCAATACACAGTAAAGTCCGCCTTAACAAAGTCTCCCTTCCGCCAAAAAACGTCGTTGAAGCGGGCTATTCGTAAAAGAAAAGACTTCTATCTCAATGACGAATTTTTATATAAAACTGTATAACTTGTTGCCTTCCGTTAGTTCAAAGTTAATAAATCTTCTAAACGTGTTTGTGCGTAATTCTTGATCCGAAACATTGTTTGTCTTCACAAACATTTGCAACTTGAACGGGCGAAAAATTAGACATCTTTATATATATACAGTAGTGCCGGTATATTGTGCTAATTTAGGAAATTTTTGTTCAACTGAATGGTTTATTTTATTGTTGCATCGATATACAAGTACAATTATAAATTATTGTTCAATCGACGCTTAACATATATAAATAAATTGATTCCATAAAAAGCTTCGTTATGAGGCCATCTTCGTTAAACCGGACGTTCGTTAAAGCACTTACTGTGTATTAATATCGAACTCGATCGAATTTAAAAGTACAGATTCTTCAGCTATTCCTCAAACCAATATTCGTGAAGCTATCGAATTTATTGGAACCAAGTAACCACCGAGACAATAACACACGCTTGGTAAAAATGGGTATCCTACCTAATACTGTAGTATCGCAGTTGTCGAAATTGAGGAAGGTGTTAATCTATCAACGAATACAGAGTTAATTAAACTTGTTAATCAATTCCTATCGATGCTCAAGACGTTAGAATGGATGTGGCAGAATTTGGTGATTTGGAAGATCCCGTCCCTGTACATGATAATGTCGGTCGACAACTGAGTTGATTATTGCAATCATAGAAGGAGAGAATTATCCGAGTCGGAACTCGACGTTGAGAGACTAAACACAGCAAAACGGTTTCTTTTTATTTTAAAGTTTACACTGTTGAATTGTAAGTCGCAAATTTGCAAAATTTAGTAAAATGAAAACCTCGATACGCTGATACCATGTATTATGCGAAACGACATATAAATTTAGCTGTTGGCCAATTGGATAATTAATGATTAACAACGTTCATATTCATTTCATATTTTGTACGTGTACATAGCTAAGACGCAAACAAAAAAGATGCCATATACGTTATTACTCGCCAAACGTTGACCAAAACAACGCGACTTGAAGTCACACGTCTTTCGCGAAGAAACACGTTACCTATAGACTCGGGTGATGCCGCCATCCCAATATGGAATGTGCAAACAAACAAACATCCAAAAAAAGCCAGACTCGATTTTTTCATATAATAATCCCCTATTCGTATCCTTACCCCCACAACAAACTTCAATTACCGCATACTGACTTGTATCAACAAAAACAATGGGTAGAGTTACAAAGACCAAGAGTAGGAAGAGCGCAACTCCTCCATCTCACCCGAAGTATGAGGACATGATTCGAGGTATATAGTGTTTCCAGCACCCTTAAGGATTCTGTTGAGAGAACAAAGTGAATAGTTTAGTAGACGATATTACGGAAATAGAGAGTTTGTTGCGACATTACAGGACGTTGTAGTTGTAAATATTAAAGTTGAATATGACAAACTTTTTCCTACATAGATGCTATCGTCGCATTGAAGGAGCGTAAGGGAAGCAGGTAAGCTAATGTATTGAGCATTATAGTGGTCATTATTTCTCGATTTTAACCGTCTTCTCGTTTTTCTTTGAACTTAGTCGCCAAGCTATCAAGAAGTATATATTGACAACTTTCAAGCTACCCGACAACACCAAAACCACCTCGCAGCTCAAACTTGCCATCCACAAAGGCGTTGATAAGGGAGTGTTTGCTTTTCCTAACGGTAAACTATGGTTTTATTTCGGAATCAACACCCGTTGCTGTGCTTCTTGGTAGCCAGGCAACCAATATCTGGTCGACTACTGTCATTAACATCAACACACTTCTGCACATATGGAATTAGGACCTAATGGTACCATTAAACTCGTAAAAAAGGAACCTGCAAAGAAGGAGAAGAAAGACGATAAACCAAAGAAAGAGAAGAAAGAAAAGAAAGAGTCCAAACCGAAAGTTGAGAAAAAACCCAAGAAAACTGTTGTAAAAAAGACACCCGCTAAGAAGGCTACAACCAAGAGTCCAAGGAAAACCATAGCAAAAGGGGCCACTAAGACGGCTGTCAAGAAACCGGCGAAAAAACCCACCAAGAGAACTGCAAAGACGACGTCTGCTGAGGCCACCTCGTAGCCATTTCGTAATTTACTTTGTATCATTTCTTAATAGCATTTCATGTCGGTGGGCTTTGTATATACTATTATGGGGTCACCTGTAACTTTAGACATGAATTTATTTTTTTTGTCACATTATTTTTAGCATTTAGCATCATTTCTGACTTGCTTTATAAACCGAATGAATATGATGTGTATATTGACAATGTTGATGAGAGTGCACGTGTTGTTATCTTTAATCTCTTATCATTCCGATACGACTTTGCTGGAATTTTACGTTTTGTAAATAAAATTGGTCTAATGAGGTGAACATAAATACTTTCAACCCGTAACCCGACTATGTTTAGCGAGAGCATAATAATAATAATTTGGTGATCATAACTGGAACGCGAGAAGTCTCCTTAGAAATTAGTGTGATATAAATAAACTAAACCGTATATAACATTTATATACGCCTTATTGACGTGAGCGATGTAAATATGGTTTAGTTGATAATCAAACGCTAAAATTATAACTTGCGCTGTAACAATAATAGTAAACATACGATTCAGTTTATCTAGAAAACACAATTCGGCAGGCAAAACTTTTTACAAGTAAAAACTGTAGGTGTAAGCAATATTAATATCAGATATAGATATTTGCATAAACTGGTCATACCACATTCGAGGTCTTGCGTTCTTTTACGATGGACCGTGACATTGCCCCTGAACTTTACCTGTGACGTCATGTCACGCCTTGCAAACAGGGACCCTAAATATTAAAAATTACCAATTGTAGGTGTGACTAATACTAACAACTCTCAACTTGAATTATTTTTAATTTTTAACTCGCTCTTTAACAGACGTCCTACACAAAGATGATTTACATGCTTTGCACTCCGATATCGTATTACCCTGTTTATTAGGTCATTAAATAACCAATTAACTTCATTTTGTTTGCGAATGATATTCGTAATTAGGTTACCACTGTCTGGTTTGTGTTATATGTGTTCCCATTTGATTGAACAAGGTTTAAAACTGGTCAAGCATAATCGGTAGGTTATAGCAAAAGTGCCTGACTGATGTTCGCCACGTTTTGGTCCATAAATGAAACATGTCTAGTGATTGACTAATGTGAACATAAACCAATTGGATTTAATGGAGCTAAAGAAATTCGGCCTACTCTTAGTCAGTCTGTGTGATTAAGCATATGCAAGAATGTTTTGGCGTCTTATTTGAGGAGATTATGAAGATGTATGTGAGCATTCTTTGCAAGTATCTAATGCATCACAAGCGGGTGATGAACTTCTTCGGCAGCTGTAGGATTCCTCATGCATGGGGGCTGTGTGAAGACAGATATAGCAATATGCAATGCAAAGTTACAGCAGACGCCATGATATTGATATCAGCGATTAAAAAGTTACGAGTTATTTGTGTAGTATGACGATATCCATTATAAATAATATATTACACCAGTACCCGATGCACACATTTGTTCATGAATGGAATAATCATGTATCGAAGCTGTTTCAATAGCTGTAACCGACAGACGGCACACAGAGACCCATTAATCAGGAGATAAATAGATCGCATTAGAAGGGAAAAACACTTTCACTAGTGTAGATAGATAACTCATAACATACGTAAGCCAATACGATATAGTCTTTGGGTAACGATTTCGTATATGAAAAAGTGGGTTCAATAAATCTATAATTAATTAAATTAATACATGTTTATTGTTGTAATTTCGAATATTGGACCAAGACTTCGATTTTAGTTGCCTTCTTTGTGCGATGGGAAAAGAATTTGAGAATCGGATAAACAAAAGACCACAACCACCAACTTCTCGGCAAATTACTAATATCATGGTTTATGTAGTGCAATCAATCATCACCTCACCCTCTTCTCTCTATTGCTTGGCGTATTCTCGTAGCATTTCGGTTTATCCATACCATAATAAGGTTCGTACATCCATCCTACCCACTTGCTTACAGGTATCATATGGAGACTAATATAAAAATGTATATAATTATTGACAATCCATCTGTTATACTGTCCCAATTGAATTTTTATTCGTTCATTGCAACACTTAACAATGACGACTTGGTTTCCCTCCATCTCTCCATCTGTCTCTGCATATGCCACTGCTTCTGTCTCTACCTCTATCTCTCGCCCTTTCCTCTTCCCCGCGCTTTACGTATGTGAGCGAGTTTTGTATATGCGCGAGTCTGGAACCGCTTACTTTTGGACCGTGTGTACGATGATAACTTGAACTATTATTATTATTTATATGCGTAATATTAAATGTAATCTTACACCAACAAAATATAGTACAAACGCAACCAATAGTGTTCGTCGTATTCAATGCAATTAATAATAAGCATTCTGTGTATAAATATTACTTATTTTATGTATGACCTACTATTGAGTTTAAAAGTTCGCACTTCTTTCCATCTCCAATAATAACTTTCGTGTCGCAATTATAAGTCCCTCACCCTTCCTTCTTCTTCCCCCCAATTATAATAATCTTCTTCTACTTCTAAAATTCTCGTATACATAATATAAATATTTATTATCATGTAGTCGTCGAGGTAACATGACGTAAATTACATATCCACTCCACCATCGCTATTTGTTATACAATCTGGTCTGGCCTGTATTCTGTATACCTTTATCATTACACACTATTTGCTGCTTCATCCTTTATTTGGTCTTAAACTCTCACAAGTCTGCACTTCTCCACTATCCCTCCCCCCAATTTTTCAATTACCCTCACCCTTAATTTGATTATATTTACCGCTCGTTTCCACAATTCCCGACTCCTCCTCCCACCATATTTTCTACTATAGAACACCATACACGGCCGTTTCTTCGCTCTGTGAGCAAGCGACGAATACATATATTACCAATATACATCACTGCTTGCCTCTATTTCACACTCCATATACACACACACGGAGCAGAGAAATTATTTGTACAAATACAACGTAAAATAGATTTATCATTGCCTTCATTATCCATATCCTTTGTCTACGATACAGCTATCGGCTAAAACAAGAACCATACCTGCACCCCTTTGTTCATTATTACATATTTCTTCACAATGAACTGCGACAGCTCAGCCGCCACCTCCACTCAGTTCACTAAACAGGAACAGGAAGAAACGCTTTGGTCCAACCCGTCCACTCCCTCCGATATATCCCTACCTCATACTCCAATCACAAAAACCGAAGAAGACTACTCTGTATACCACGTGCCAAGAGGATATGATGTGGTCCTTGTCCCCAAACTAGCAGACCAGACGTCCATTCCTGATTCTAACCCAGCAGTATCCGCGACAGCCGACAGTGGCTTGTCAGACTGTGACTCCTACTCTTCTACTTGTTCGAAACCGGTGAATATCCCTAAAGCCAAGAGCGTTGATGCATCACAGACCACAACCACAACCACAACCACAACCACAACCACAACGACCACCACTACAACGCGACTATCGGCTTATCGCAAGCGTAAGGCTGACAAGAACTACATTCCCCGTCCCAAGAACTGTTTCATGGCATACAGAGAGCATATAAAAGAAAAGTTCTTAGCTGAGAATCCCGGTATGAATAACAAGGTTGTATCGGTTCTTGCTGCAAACTTGTGGAACAACGAGCCAGAAGAAGTCAAAGAATTCTGGAGAGAACGTGCTAAGCAGCTTAAAATAGAACACAAGCTCAAGTATCCTGACTACAAATTCAAGCCTCAAAAGAAGAAACAAAACATCAAGAGCCCGAACACCCCAAAGTCCGTCAAGACTGTACGCAAGAAGACTGGTTCAGATTCTGTCAACATGATGTATACTGATGGCTATGGCTCAGAAGACAATAAACTTGTGTATCCCTTGACATTGGACGCCGTCAGCGATGAACAGGAAGAATACTATATACAACATCTTCACAAGAAGGCTCTGTTCGGACATTACAGAGCTTCATCAGTTGATTCTGTCAGTTCGTGGACGAGTGACTCCACTGCATCGACGCCTTTACTCTCGCCCTTCGTCGGTTCTCCTGCTTCGCTTTCGCCACCTACATTTCATATGACCAGTCAATATGGACGGTCACCATCAGCTCTTCGTTATGAAGCTGGCAAGTCATTGGATAACTATAACAACCAAAGTGACTTGTTGTTATCTTCACATAACTTGGCCATGTCACAATCAATGTTGGGTGAAGTCGATCAACTGAACCATATGTATAATCAACTTGATGTAAACGCTCATGCTACTCTGCCAGTCGACGACGGTTTCGTTCTTGATTCAGCCCCGTACGAGTCATCTTCATTGAGAACCGCAAACTTTTTGCAGCAACCACATTGTTCTTCCTCCCAAACCGAAATGTCTTCTACTGACTACGATCTTATGGCCATGGGTCAATATGGTCTTATGGAAGAAGCAGAAAACTACGTAGTTGGATACAACGGTAGCGGAGATCACTACTTGGTTTACAACAGTCCGTTTGACCTTTCCGCTGCTGAAAACGCTTCCTCCATCGCCCAGTATGCAACCTCCGAGCAACGCTTAACCGACTTCCAAGAGGGACTGCGACAACAACAACTCAAACTCCAAGAATTGATGAATTGAACCAAGGCTGTTGACTATATATGTTCGGCTCGAACTAGTGGTTTTTGTAAAATAGAAACAATAACTTAAACTCATTCCATACGCAGCCAGATTCTTTCTGGTCATAACCGCTGATAAGGATGCTTGCTTTCCAACTTTATTTATACACACCTTTTTTCAGTTATACCGTGTGATTCTGTATTATTTAGCCTTCCCCTCACTTCCATTTTACTATACATATATCCGTTTCATTCTGTTTATAAACATCACTTATATATAGACATTGCATTTCTCCCCATAGAACAATATATATCATAGAGCACCTGAGTTTTGACTGGTGAGCAATACCAGGTAAAAGCTCCTTTTGCCTGTTATCATTATTTCTCCCCTCTGAACTTGGTCCAAATAGACTGCCGCAATGTATATTTTTTTTTACTTAAATTATAGACTGGCAGAAACGATACGAAACATCGCGATGAATTTCAGTTAAATGAAGCTCTTGCGAGTTTTTCTTCGTTGTACATTCTTTCTTTACATATTCTCTTTTTTTCTTTATTCTCTCCCCTTTTATACTTTGTCACTTCAAATTTTTTATCAATTTACTACAGTTTCGTTCCGATCATATTTTTTAAGAAAAAAAAAGAGCGGGTTTGATTTTCAAATTCAATCTTTTATACCTTTATAACCGTACAACTCTTATATACTCGTCATATTCTATACATACAAATATATTATATATACATACATATACATACGAATTTCCTTTATAAGGAAAAAAAAAGCCAAAAACTTTGTATTATGCCCCTTTCCACTTTGAATCATTCTGTTTATAAAAAATTTCTCTTTCTTTTCACCGATTTCGCGCATATGGAAAGTAGTTTCCCTGGAGCGATCGTTCGGAATTTTATTTCTCTTTTTTTCATTAACTTGTTTTTTATCTGGTATTTTTGGGTTTTGTTGGGTTTAAAAGATCGACGAGGGGTTCTGGTCAGATACGACGATTCATCATTGAATACTGTATATGGTCGTGGGGGGTTCCTCGGGAGGATCTTCGAATGGTATTCGTCAGCGTCAAGTGTTTACTATTCCTTGTTCTATGCTGACATTTGTTATCCGTCTTTCTTTTCTTTGGGGGTGGTGGGTTTGTTGAGATAAAACAATTTTTCAATGTTTTTTTTTCTTTACTTTTTGTATGTGAAAAGCGACAAAATATTCAATAAAAATGCTAGCTTGAGAATCATTATATGTCTCGGTTTAAGAATGTCCGTGTTAATTACAATTCTGCTGAGCGTTTCTTTCCGTCTGGATACCATAACAAATCGACTTTAATTTATACAAAACTTGGAATAACCAAATAGGTTTTACTAGTATAACCAATTAGGTAAGGATATACAAAAATCGGGATACCAAATTTATCTTATTGTACAGCTTGACTGGAAATATTCTGCTTTATTTTTCCTACAGCACAGGCCACAAGTTTGGCTTAGACAAATATCTTCATAGGTGTGAGACTATCGACAATAAGACCCGCGCCTTGCAGCTCCACATTCTTCAAGAATTGTGTTGGGAAAAGAACCAAGTGACCCCTAATCTTGGCGAGATTGGCTTTAACATCTTCAACTGATCTGTCAAGATTATGAACGTGACCAATCTTAACCGCCTTACGGTCTGGGATAAACGCATTGAATTCCTCCCAGTTCGTGACTGTAAGAAGTTAAGACGTCATGAATCCCCAAAATAGTCAATAGAAAACATCGCAGTAACAAATTTTATACGTACCAGTATCGTCAGGATAACAATGGAAAACATCCCGGAATGCCAAAGTATTTGTGGTAGCTGTCTTCAACCAGATATTTTTGTAGAATTCATCGCTCACAGGATCTTGCAGTTGTTCATCGACTGAGAAAGATCTGGAATCCAGAGCCAGTGGTGGAGGATGGCAATTGCCGGAAGTAGATTCATGGTGAATTTGGTCACCAAGCAGGCCAAGGTGTTCCTTGAAGAGGAAATTACGAAGCGAATACGCAAATCTTCTTGCTTCCCACTACATTGATCATTGGAAAACCGAATTAGCATTAATTATACGAATTTTTCAATCCTATTATAAAAGACTTACGTCTTGTCCGGCCATACGCGTTTTTACAATGGCAGTGTCTTCAATGAGAGCAGCAATCTCGGAATCGTGATCACCAAGTTGTGATCTGTCGTTAAAGTTAGCTATTAAATACAAGTCAGTCAGTATTGCTTTATCAAATGAATTCATACGACAATATCGTACCTGATCCGCATATGACATAACGATCGTCTACAATCATGACTTTTGTGTGTATGTAGAGCTCCTCGGTTACATAA